CGACGAATGTTTTGTGACAAGCATTGGTGGTTATTGATGCAGTTGAACAAGGATCATGGATTAAACAGACGCAAGAAGTAGCAAGTTTAATGACTACGGCATGGTCAAAGATTCCAGATAAACTTAGCTACCTGCCCCTCATGGTATTGCCATAATCTAACTTTTTATTAGCTATGTCGTCCCCAGGATTACCAATTGTGGCATAGTCTGTTGGAGAACTGAATCAGACTGCGAAAAGTTAGTGATCAGTGACCAAAGACGATGGTTGCCAGCGATGGACACGGAGATGACGAAAGTACCGACCGGCGAACGAGTGCCCATGCCGAACCGATAGGTGTGACAGCGCCTTGCCATTGTAGCACGTCAGATAAGATTCCACGTAAACAATACCGACAGTGTGAGCTCATAGTCCTAAATGAGAACATCTCACTGAAGTGAAAGAGCATAAGTTATCTAATGAGGTAGCATGGCACCGACCGGATATAGCTTGACTGTCTTCAGCGAAGCGCCAGTAATACGCAATTCTGAATTTCTGCGAAACGGCTAGCTATTCTACTCATTTGTCAATTTTGCGACCCGCGCTCATGCCGGTGTAGGTATTCTGGTAGAACTTAAGCTGGATAGCAGAATCATTGAATTGAAGCCTGTCAGCAGAAGTGTCAATCCTCCGATTGAAACTACAACAAGCTAAAGTTTTGACCTTGTTACAAGGAGGGAGCATATGAATCCTTCCTGGACGAAATGGGCGTCATTGCGAAATCCATCAGACTCGGCCATTTCAGTGCGCATGTCGAAGCAGACGCTGAAAAGTGGCAAGGCGTGATTGGGAAGAACTGTCCAAGCGATCTAAATAGTCGTTGTTACAATTCTATGCAAACAACGAACTGTTTGTACTGAACACCGAGCATCGAAACGCGTCATTGAAGCTTGTATAGCGGAATTTGTGCACAGAAGTTGATAATCGCATCGTCTGACTCGCGACAATGTTCAAGTTAAGAGAGCTTTTAAGTGATAATCGTTTTGTTGGTACTTTCCGCTGCAACCGATGGAACACCATGCAGCAGCAACCATAGAAGCGAATATTATATTCGACGAATGTGAGGATGAGACTTACAAAGACCGCACGCCAGTCTGAACAAATTCCATTGATTATACTGAAATCGGAAACCGAGAGGAAGCTTGTTAACAGCGGCTTACTTAGGCCTGCCGCCGAATGCATAGGTTTAGAACCTGCCACTTGGGCGTCAAAAACACTTCCTCATACGCACCTGAGGTTCAATTGATTGTCAGCGAGAAGTGGCTCGGAAGCAAAGAGCCTTCAACTCGAATGCGGCACGAAGAAGCGCTTCGGGCGACGGTAAAAGCAGTGTCCAAACTGAAGGCTGATTCATAAGAAAAGTTCCGTTATTTGCTGAATAGAATTGCCATATGGCACAGCATATTCGGTAGTTCGTTTTCCACTATGAGCAAGTTCCGTTACTGTAAATAGTGATTGTTGAATGGAGTGATAACGTCTTTTTTATTGCATGACAAAATGGGCCTGGAAAAGACTGTCGCTGTAGCATTAGCGTCACGATAGCCATCGTTTCATTGACAGAAACGTAGTTAGGGGTAAGTCTTCGAAAATTGTGCCAAGTGGGAAGGGTTTAATTTTAGTTAGCCTAACGGAATCTGTCGGCAGAAGAAATATTTCATCAAATTTTCTGTTGGAAGTGGGCAGCAAAAATTGCTTATATGGCTGTGTAATTTGCCCACGTTAATTATTCTGCAGCAGTGTCGATTTACGGTACGCATTTCTAACTTCTGAAGCATTTTGTTCGTTTTACATCTTAGTGAATGATGGGATTTTGAAATGGTTGACAGATTTTCTCTTAAAGGTTAGTAATAGCATGGTGATTTAGGTGCAGCTGATACAGTTCAGGTAGCATTGAAGACAAATGCATAAATCACGCATATTTAGAATTAGTCCTAGTTCTGTTCTTTCGTATAACAACCCTGCTGAGAACTAATTTTCTCCTTTCATCCAATGATTACTGACCTAAGATTAATTGTTTTAATACCGCTAACTATCCAGTGAAAATATTCATTTGTTGCAGTAACTTGAAATGGAGAAGTTGGTTGAAATGCAGCACTACTTAGCATTCTTTTGCAAATATCAGAAAACCTAAATTTAGAAAGTTCATTAAACTATTTTAAGAGAATGTGCACCAAATGCTTTTCGCACACTATTCTGTAGGCTACATGTTACATTGCGTATTTAATGGTCAAAAGCTCTCGGTTTTCAAGTCGATCTTTATC